AAAATTTGTTCAATAAAAGCTTTTTTACAGGTAAAAATTATAATCATATCTTAATTTTGAATTTTTTTTTTGCTAAAATATGATTTTGAAATAGGATAAATGGAATTGGTGTTTAAAATTTTCTGTACCCTTATAGATAATATGTTTGTTTAATTTGTCTGATTCAGTCGACAGAGCTTGGTTATTCTGTGACAAAAGAATAAAGATTTAAAAAAAAAAATTACTGATGAACAGAGTTAACCGAATAGAAATGGCAGGGGTTATGAGTGGGTAATTAGGGTGAGCAATGAACAAAGAGCAAGAAAAAACAGGAAATCTGACTGGTTGTACGTTGAGACTGAGGTCGGAGGCTATCTGTCAGCAGTCAGTTGGCATTGTCTGTTAGACATTAAACTGTCATGACAGGCAATCTGTTTCGGCAATTTTCTTATTTTAGATGGCATTATCAATTCAGAACGATTCAACAATGTTTTATTTAAGATGCTACTACATTTTACTTTTTTTTTTTCGCTTATTTCTTAACATCTCAATTTTTTTTTTATCAATTTTTTTGTAGAAAACAGAAGAAAGAAAAAAAAAATGAGAAAAAAAGTTATTGATTCAAAAATCAAAAAGAATTTTTAAATTTTTTGTTGAAAATTTTGATCTAAATTACTGACAAGGAAAATTTAAGCATTTAAATATATCAAATAGGCAATGCACATTAAGTTAAAACTTAAGTACAAAAATACCCTTTCTATTTGATACTACAATCGCTCTGAAAAAAAGTTTGTAATTTAAAAAAAATAAAGCATTGAAAGAAAAAAAATAAGATGTTATTTCAAAAAGTGATTGTTTAAAAGCGATGCAAAAACTTTATTTAAAATTTTTAAGTGTACAAGAATTCTTTTCCAACTTTTGTGTAATTTATGTAACATTCACTGCACTACTCGGCAAAAACGTTCTTTTCTTTTGCTTTTTTTCTTGATTGTCCTAATGACATTTTAGTTGTTGCCCTTTATTCCCCTGTTTTATTCATTTTGTTCGTTCCTCTTTTAAGAGGGTTAAAAAATGGCAAAAAATAAATTTTTTCCTTTTTCAAACATAAAGTCTTACGTACAAACAAAAATACCATATCATCGCCAATTTTTTTCACATTTCTTTACTTGCAGCTTTATTTTTAGTACTTTAAGCATTATTTGTCTGTAAGTTTAGCAAATCTTCTGAGTAAAAGTTCTGCCCATTTTTTATCATAAGGAACAGCAACCGTCCTAAGACGTTGGTTCCCAAATGTTGTTAAATTTAGGTGACAGTTTGGGAATGTAAAGTAAATAACAAAAAGTATTTGTTCCAAAAAACAAAACTATCTACTAAAAGGTAT